CCTACTCGCTCCTCACAGGGACCTCGGCAAATCCGACGCATCAAGGGAATACCTGTGCCACAGGCCACGTGCACTGCTCTGCTCAAAGAACTGGACAAGTGGTCCGCTGAAGATGTGAACAGGACAACCCCCCGAGAGCGTCTCAATGTACGCGCACAACACTACATGATACTCACCAGCCCTGCAGGGTTTGCCAATCCGGATGGGATCAAGGCGCTCCGAGCAAAGTATGGGGATATACACTATATGGTTACTTTAGTATTTCAATGTGTCTCTGTATATATATATATATATATAGGTCTCTATATGTATATAGCTGATGTCAGTGTGTCTCTATTTTGTGTGCGTGATGCCGTGCGCGTCTGTATGTGCTTTTGTTGGCCTTTAATGTGTACTAATGTGGAGGTGTCGCTGAGAACGGCTCAATATACGCACACAGCAATACATGATGCTCACCAGCCATGCATGTAGGGGTAGTCAATGCGGATGGGACCACATACACTTAGAGCGAAGTAGGTACGTTTCAGGTAAATGCAGATGTAGATATAGGTAGATGTACGTGTAGATGTGGGTATAGATGTAGATGTTGATGTAGGTATAGATGTAGATTTAGATATGATATAGGTGTAGGTATAAATGTAGATGCAGGTATAGATGGAGATGTTGGTGTAGATGTAGATGTATATATAAACGGAGATGTAGGTGTAGATGTAGATGTAAATATAGACGGAAATATGGGTGTAGATGCATATATAAATATAGACGGAGATGTAGGTTCAGATAGAGATGTAGGTGTAGATGTATATGTAAAAATAGATGAAGATGTAGGTGTAGATGTAGATGTAAATATAGTCGGAGACGTAAGTATAGATGGAGATGTAGGTGTAGAAGTCTATGTAAATATAGACGGAGATGTAGGTGTAGATGTATATGTAAATGTAGATAGAGATTTAGGTATAGATGTAGATGTAGATTTAGACGGAATTTAGGTGTAGATGTATATGGAAATATAGTTAGGGATGTAGGTATAGATGTAGATGTGATATAGACGGAATTTAGGTGTAGATGTATATGTAAATATAGATGGAGATGTAGGTATAGATGTAGATATAAATATAGACGGAGATGTAGGTGTAGATGTATATGTAAATATAGTTGGAGATGTAGGTGTGGATGTATATGTAGGTATAGAAGTAAGTATACATACACGTGTAGGTGTAGCTTCACTTTCTTTTCACGTATGCATGTCTGTCGGTCTGTTTCTTTCAATCCTTTTGTGGGGTTAAAACTTAAAACGGGACAGTCCGCTATGAAATGTGGCAGTGTCCCTTACACCGCACTGGTCCACGCTCCCAAAATCCTCCGGGTGGGACTAAAAAGGGACTCAAACGCACCGGACACCTTTCACGTTGCACGCAGAATGATAAGGAGAACGTACACAACGCGACGTGATGCAACAGCTTTATGTATGGCCTAAGTGTTGTCGTGGGAGGGTGTCGATTGTGCTTATGTGGAGCTCTAGTAGGGTTTCAGGGTTTGAGAGGTATAGGGTTTAGGGTTTATAAACCCCTCAACCCTGCATCTGTGAGGTATGAGAGTGTATATGTCTCCGCCCATCGGTGTGATCTGTTGTTGACTACAACGCAGTAGCAACACCAAACGTCAACGTAATATCCATTGCCGACTATACACCCCTAATCAAAGGCAATTGTCTACACTTACACATCCACTTGACACATCACATTCATTCAGCACAATCCTCACACGCACACACGCACTACTCCACTTCTTCTGAAATCTAATCCGCAGGGATAAACTTGCAGGATATATGCGACTGTGGGAGCTAGCACGCGAGGTATGATATCAGCCTTGTGCGGGCAATTGACATGTGCAGACTCAGCTATACTGTTGCACACTCACAGTCAAGTAGCTGCAACCTCACAAGTCTATATATATATATATATATATATTGTGTGCGTGTGCGTGTGTGTGTGTGTGTCTGAATAGTATGATATCATGTATACCCGCGTATACTTATGTACACGCACAGTTAAGTCGCTTTATCCTCATAACTCTTGTATGTTTGTCAAACTAATACACCCTCTGGCCCGTAGGACTTACACTTCTTGTGGCAAGTGCCAAAAATCGGTCCGATACCTCCTGCACCTCTTTTGTGCATCTTAGAACTTTCTCATCGCTTCTACATATAACAAGTGTGATTGTCCGTAGACCTTTTGGGCCGATGGTTCGTCCCAACTGTAGAGCGACCCACAGATAGCGCTGTGCACCTGTCCTTATATTCCGGACTGAGCCAAGCGCTGTGCACCTGTCCTTAGTTTTCGGACTGGGCCACTCTGTCTGCACCCGATGGACCATATGCACCTGTTCAGTAGTGCTGCTTGGGTGCATCTGACCCATTTCTTATGGACAAACACCCAGACCGGCAGCCGTTAGAACAGTTCAATACACCCATTTCTTTTGACCTAAAGTGGACGGTACGTTTATAGGGTCCCTATGTCACACTCTCCTTGTACGTGTGTGTATTTCATGTCACGTGTGTGTATGTCACGTCACACGTGTCCTCTCACACCACCCACCATCCTTCCACCTGCAGGTAGCTGTAGAGGCTGACCCAGAATTCGCCACCCGATACACGGCTGTAGCATTCACCAAGAACTTTCAGGGCAGCCCACACATCGACACACAGAACATCGCCACGTTCCGTGGGTTGGCTCTTGGGGACTTCAGTGACGGCGGAGGTAAGCTCATGTGCACTCGTGTGTTGATATTTATATATATATATATATATATATAGATTAGGTGCACTCGTGTGTTGATATCAAGATCAGGTACACTGGCTGGGGGGATGAGGTAGTATGGGTGTCTGTGTACTGGACACAAGTCTGTTGGTATGAATGGAGGTGTGTGCACGTGTTATAATGCATATGTACTGGATCGTCGCTCATGGAGTAGCTCTGTCTGCAACTCTGACGCAGGATGCTTTATTATTGTTTAGTTAACTCGACGCGGGATGCTTTAATATTGTTTAGTTAACTCGTTCTCTCGTATAACTATTAGCAGAGCAACGCAGTGTTGAAGGAAGGACTGATCTTGAACACACACGGTTACAAACACACGTATGCATATATGCAAAGCATCAGCTTGTATTGCTTTTTCATGTACAAACATACACGCACACGCACATAATCATGCCCATGTCTTTTGATCCAATTTTATGCACACACATACATACATACACACGTACACACGTACACACACACACATATATACACACATACACACCTAAACATAGACACATATACACATAGACACATATACGCATACACACGCACACACATACACACATACACACATACACACGTACATATTCATGCCCATGTCCTCTTGTGATCCACCTTTATGCACACATATACATACATACACACATACACACATACACACATACACACATACACACATACACATATACACAGATACACACATAAACATAGAAACATATATACACACACATACACACATACACACATACATACATACACACATACACACATACATACACTCCCATGCCCATGTGCTCTTGTGGTCCACTTTCTTGGCTGCAGGAGCGTTAGCCGTCGAGTGCAGTGCTAATGAAGTGGCGTACGTTGACACGCGCCACCGTCTGGGCAAAGTAGACGGCCGCTATCCCCACTGGGTGGCACCGTACACGGGCACACGCTACAGTGTGATCTACTACCAGACACGTGGCGAAATAGAGGTATGGCTGGTATCACACACGGGTTATACCCCAAGTATCACAGCTGTAAGGGGTGTGGGGGCGTGGAGGGTCAGGCGAACTGTCTTGGATAGGCGTCGGATGTTATGGTCGCTCTTGCCAATGTACAATCGCATTGCTTGTAACATCGCGTGGTTGTGGTTGTGGGTGGTGGCATGTGAATGTATGTGTGTATGGTGATATATGATCTGCTTATTGTCTACACCGGCTTCATACTCATGGTACCTAACTGTTTCGTTCAGTATAGTTTTATCAAGCTCACCCTTCGTTTTATTGACATATACGTTAATGATTG